ATATATATTTTAATAATTCCGGCTCGAAAATCGCAATTTTTTAGTTTAAGTATAGTAAAAACGGTGCACTTTAATAGATTCGGTTCATCGCAACTTTTCAATATAAAGTAGAAACAATACATTTTAGCAATTCCGGCTCGAAAATCATAACTTTGTATTATTTATATTGAAAAAAAAACATTTTAGAAGATCCGGCTCGAAAATCACATTTTGTTAATGCAAATATATTAAAATAAGTTATATTTTAGTAACTCCGGCTCGAATATCGCATTTTTTTAATATAGTTACAATATAAAAAATACCTTCGACTCAATAAATCACAATTCTCGAAAATTATATTTTTTTTCAATATAAGCATAACAAAGAAAATACATTTGAATAATCCAAATTCAATAATTACAACGTTTCAATTCAAACACAATAAAAGAAATATCCTTTAATAATTCCGGCTTAAAAATCACATTTTTTCAGTTTAAATATAAGATAACGAAAAAATACATATACTTTACCAACTCCGGCTCGAAAATCGTAATTCTAAAAAATTGCGGCTTCCGAGCCGGAGCTGCCAAAACATGGTTTTTCCTACACTTATATTCAAAGTTGCGAATTTCGAGCCGGAATTGCTAAAGTATATTTCCTTTACCATATTTGCATTGAAGAGTTATAATTTTCGAGTCGGAAATGCAAACATATATTTATTTTATTATGAAAAATTACGATTTTGGAGCCGGAACTTAAGCATATATTTTCTTTATTATACTTATATTGAATAATTACGATTTAAGCCGGAAATATTCAAGTATATTATTTATACCAAATTTATGTTAAAAATTACGATTTTTAAACTAATAGAATGTGTTTCGATTTCATATAAAATAATAAAATCTATAAAAACAATCAAAAAAACGATAGGGTTATAAAGGAAATATTTATTTAATATTAATTATCTAAATAAGTATATAGTTAAAATATATTATAATTAGTAATAAAGAAAATTTAATATATAGTTTTTCGTATTTTAAAATAATTAGAAATATATAATCGAATAAATGAGTGTTAAGCGAGGTTGTAAACTTTAAAAATTGGTTATTATATATATATATATTCATTTTAGTTATTCGGCTAAATATTATTGTGTTAAACAAGATTATAATTAATATTGTTAAAATATATTTATATTTTATAAAATTTAAATTTAATAGTATTATTATTTAAACAATATATAACATTATATCTATTTTATATTCTTTTCGATATAATAAATATCTATGTATATATATATATTTTATATAAAGAAAAAAAACATATATTTTGTTAAAAATTATATTTAGATCTAGTTGAGGGCCGGCAATTTTGAAAAATCGTCGTTGTTATTTAATTGATCTTTTCATTTTTTGGCTATTTAGTTTATAATTTGTTTTTTGGTGGTTTATTTTTTAGTTTGCCTAATGGTTTGTTTAATGTGTTATGCCTTTTTATTTTGTTTAGTTTAGTTTTCAATTTGTTATCTTTCTCGTTCGTTTATTTGTTTGTGTTTTTATTTAATCGTTTATTTGTTTATCAATGTATTTGTCTATTTGTTTGTGTATTTGTCTGGCTAGCTATATGTATATTTATTTATTGATTTATATTTAATTAATATATAAAAAAATATTAAAGTAATTCAAAAATATATATTTGGAATTATATTTATATTCCCCATATATGATTTATAAAAAATATTAAAAAAACAAACAATACAAAAAATCAAATTTATCCTAAAATTCAAAATATAATAAATTATAAAATAAAAATTACGATATTGAATTACAATAATCGAATATATTTTTACCTTCGTAATTTAGTATTATTTTAAGCATTTTATTCATATTAATTCGTTCTAACGATATCTAAACCAAAATCAAAAATATTACATTCATAATCTCGATATATCTCCTCAATCTTTTTTCTAACCCACAATTTCAAGGTTTTCGTTATTTGTTTACTACTACAAATTAATGCAAAAAGATAATAAATACATAAAACACAATAACGGGGTTAACCGATACTAAAATGAACATTAAATAAAAATAATATTTTTCTCTTAGTATTTGGCTACCCAAAAATCTCTTAAATTGAAAAATATATATATATATTTTAAAGATGCTATTTTTACACATATTTATGATTTAGAATTTAATATTACATAAATATATATTTCTATATATTAAAAAAAATAACATTAAGTAAAAATAAAAAACAAAAAACGAAGAAACAATTAAAATAACAATAAATACATAATGATTTGCTAGCATTATCCTTAATTTGCAGAATTTCTTTAAGATTTGTATTTTTAACCGGAAAATCATTATGTATGTTTTATTATTATTTATCTATTATCTTTCCAAAAAATTCGATAGATATCTGTATAATAGCAAAGGAAAAACCTCCAATGCAATTTACAAACCGCAAAAAACAACGATTTTGCAGAGAAATAATACATAAATAACGAAAATCCTTGGGAAATAAAGAATAATAAGGAACAAATGATAAAAACATGATTAAATAATAAAGAACAAAATGATGATTTGCCAGTATCGTTGTTATAAGAGTCCGTGACCCACAAAATGCAAAAAGCATCGATTTTGCAGAGAAACGATAAATAGAAGACCGGTGCACAATGATAAGCAAATGATGCAAAAATAATAAAAAGGTGATGATTCGCTTACATTCTCCTTAATTTTCAGATTTATTTTAGGATTTGATAAATTTTACCCAAAAAATCATTATTTGTTTAAATGTATTTCACCATTTATCTAGTTGTTCTAAGAATTCATATAGATATTTGCAACAAGGTATAATAGCGACGGAAAAAGGCTATAATATAACCTTCAAATTATAACGATGTTGTAGAGAAATAATGAATAAACACCATACATTTGTTTTCTTTCTTGTTTTTCTTTTTTTTTTTAAAAAAACATCAAATAATAATAACCAAATAATAATTTACTGACATTTTCGTTAATTTACATTTTCGTTACTCGGAAAAACATTATTTATTTCATCTTTTCTATAAATTCAAATCATAATAAATAACGAATTTATTAAAAATAATAGATAAATAACGAGAACCCTTATAAAATGAAGAAAATTCAATGAACAACTAAAGAAAAAATAAAGAGAAAATACAAAAACAATAATGATTTACTAGCATTGCCATTATATTTCAGAATTTCCTTATATATAAATTTGCCCGAAAATCATTATTTATTTTATCATTGTTTCATCGAATATTTATAATAACCTATAAAAACGAAAGAAAATTAGTAATATCATCTATTACACAAACACAATAAACAAATAACAAAAACCCCTCACTATATAATAAAAAAACATACAAAATAATTATAAATTATATAATACATAATGTTTATCTAATATTTTCCGATTTTTTAGAGTTTTTTTTTTTCACTTTTAACAAACAAACATCATTTAAATCGTGTTTTTTCTTTTAATTCTATAGGGCCTATATACTAACTGCACAGACCTACGCGAAAGCTACGCGGTTTTTTGTTTCCCTTTAAGGAATTTAGATACGCGGTGACTATGCGAAATATATGGTTCGATAAATAACTATATGAGTGGCTATGTAAAATCGTCATTAGCAAATCGTCCTTATCATACACCTTCCGAGCGAGATGAAAAAGATAAAATAATCGAAGAATTCGACTCCAAGATATAAACAAAAATAAACTATTAATGGAATCCCTCATTTCTTTGGAGGCTAGGTGTATTTCTAGGATGTATATCTCCGAACTAACTCTTTAATTTCAGCAGGCGTCATTAACCCAGAAATCTCGACGCCATTCTATAAACGCTTCGGCATAATATCCGATTTAGGAAAAGAATAAAACAATTACAAAAATATTATAGGACTATTAAATCTAAAAAACATAATAAAATATTATATAAGGATTAAGAAAATTACGGGAAACAAAAAACAAAATGCAAATTTGGAAACGAATATATGGGAAATAAGGTTATAAATAGATCCCAAAAAATATATTTAATGCACCTACTAAATTAAGACTAAATGTATGTTTTATTAGGATATATATTTGTTTTTTCAAAAAAACATATTAGATTATTCGGTCATGCTTTAAGCACGGCGGCCAGATTGTTCATATTTCTCGATCATTCCCAATTAAACGGCCGCATTTTAAACACAATAATAATTATATTGTTTATTTTTCTTTAAATTAAAAATAATAAAATATTAAAAACAAACTATATATTTAAATATAACAATAATTATGTTATTTATATTTTTCGAGTAAGTTTAATATTTTACTATTATATTTATAAATAATAATATAATTTAGTTTAAATATTATTTAAATTATATATATAATAATTAATTAATTAATTATATATAATATTTCATTTTTTTTTAATTAAATTAATAATATAAATTATTTACAAAATATCAACCTTCCTAAATAAAATAATATATATTATTATAATTTATTATAAATATAAATTATTATTATTATTAATATAAATTATCATAATATATTTAACTATAATATTTAAGATAAAAAAATAATTATATTAATTTAATATAATTTAAAATATATATTTAAAATATATTAATTTAAAAATATAATTATTGTTTTAATAAATATATAACAATAAAATTATATATATGTGTTGTTGTTTTTAATATATTTATAATACATATATAATATTTAATATATAATAACATATTCAATAAAATTAAATGGTATTAAATGTTAATTAAATTTTATTTTCAATTTTAAATTATATAATTTAATATATATTTAAATATTTATTTAAATTTAAATTTTAATATTTTTAATAATGTGTTTATTTTAATTTTATATATATATATTTAAATGTTTTGATTATTATATATATCAATTGATTTTATAATTATGTATTTATGAATTTCATTATATATATATATATGATTGTTAATGAATTATATAAATAATACATTTAAATTTGGTTGGGTTTGGGATTTTTGTGAAATATGTCAGAAGCTCGTGTCCCCTTGAGGGAGCAGCTTTCATGCTCTGCAACCGTCAAGTCACGGTTTTCAGGTACTCCACGCAGTCGGCGGTCTTCATGTATTCCTTTGCGCAAGCTGATTGCAAGCCCTTGGCCTTTGGGTCTTCAATCCACGCCCAGCCCAGAAATCCCTTCGGCCTAATAAAAGATAACCGTCCCGCGCCGAATAAAATATTCGGATTAATAGGAAGAAGTGACTACATTCTCCAGAAGTGGAGCGCCCAATAAACCGTCATTGCGTCCAAGTCTCTGCGCAATCCAAAGCCGTGCGATCCTGCCCGTCCTTTTTCTTTGTATCAGCGCCTTTCTCCTTGGCTGCAACGGTGTAGGCAACAAGAACATGATTTCAGTACATCACATCGTGATACAGCAAATTCACAGTCCCAGCCAACATATATGCGAAAGAACACATAATTATCCCTAGTGACCTGATGTAAGCAAGTGTGTCGGCCATGGCAAGTGCATTGGTTTCAAAAGACGTGCTTAATTAGCAGTGATAGCACTCCCTCAATAGTGTCCTTGCGGAAACACCAGCAGCTATAGCTAAAGCCGCCACATGCTGAGTCGGATGTGTCACTTTTAAGCTAATTGTCCTGAAGCTCGGCCAAGTCGCCACAAGAAGCTTGCAAATCTCCAACTTGCCCATCTTGGCAGCACCGTGCAAGGGTGTGTCACCTGCAAATCGTGATTCACTTCACTGAGAAAAGCAACCTCATATATTCAAACTTCGGATTCAAATTGAGCTTTCTGAATTACCCTCCCACCACGGAACCTAGGGGTTGCCAGACAATTTTCCTGGGACTCTCTGGCAGGCTCCGTGTGGAAAACCCGAGGCCCTTGCAAAGACATACTGTGCCCAATGAAAAGGATGAAAAGCAGCTTTGACCGGCCATGCCCACTTGCACAGGTTGATGTGCAGGAGGATATATACTCAATCCATGCTCCTTGCTTTTCCGGTCAAGGCCAGAGGGCTCAATCCGGAATGGTCCAGTTAACACCTGATGTTCACTCTGAACACTTTACAACTCAGCCTGAAATAAGGGATGTTCAAGCAAAGCACCTATTGAGCTCTACCCTTGAACTGGCAAGCTATTCGCCTGCCACAAGCGATGCCAATTTTTGTTCCCAGCTCGAAATTCTGAAGTCCCGCCTTGCGGGGTCTGGTTGTCCACCTTGGCCCCCTTCTCCAGTAGCATCGTCGTCCTAGAAACCAAAGCTTCACCTTTTGAAACCTCTGCTATGAGAAAACACGGGAGAACCAAAAGATCAAAAGGTCGGAGTTGAGCAACTGAGTGAATACTTGGCCATCCTTTCATGCGAACAACCAATCTCTCACACCCATCCCACATGAAATCCATGCAACATGGAGTATAAACAAAACATCTAAAACACTCTAAAACTACCTCAGCAGCATCAATGGCAATCTACACCCATCATACATTAGCCATAAGTGACAAAAGGAGAGACAAATATATGGCTGTGGGTCAAAAATGAGTACCCAAAATGGAACCCTGGTAAATGGAACCCAGGATTAAAACCTGGCGTGTTCTTTGTGGTTTAATTTTGACCCACCATATATTGCTGGATCCCAGCAGAGGCTCATCTCCAGGTTTCCGAACCACGCGGTATAGAACAAGGGCGTCTGCCGGATCTCGTCGTAGATATCCGCGTGGGCGCCTGCGTCGAGCAAGACCTTCAAGGTGGCGTTGTACTCCTTGTCCCCATCCTCCGGCGAGATCTCTTGACCCCATAGTAAGCAACCCCTGTTTATTCAAGGGGGGTGTTCCCCTCAAAAGATGATGATTCATATTTCTAGAGGTAATTTCCATGTCCACTCCTTCCATCCAGGGATCCTTCTTTCTAGAAAACCACCCAACACCCTGGGGAAATGGCTGGCTTTTGAAGAGAACGATGGCTAAAAAAACTGGGAATCAACTCCTAGAATATTAATCAACTCCTGCTTATTAATACGGGGCGTGGGGGCCTCAAAAGATGATGATTCCTCACTAAACCGGAAATGGACACCCCCCTATTAATAAACAGGGGTTGATTCATACGGGGTCAACATTAGGGATCCGGTGAGTGACCTAATCCCCCAGAAAATAGCAAGCTCGAAATGGAGCCAGAACACCTGCCGAGCTTGCTTGTAACTGGGACAAGCGATGCGGATGACTCGTCTGCCAACGAAGCGAGGCCCACATTCGGCCGATGTCAGTCGGTTTCTCAAAATGTTGATTCCCTATCGTGTCAAGACCGAAAATAAATGGCAACCATCAAGGGCCATGCAAGCTCTCAGGATGAGATTTCATGTTTGTTGTTCCCTTTTTTTCTGGGGTTTTCAGGCTTTGGGTGTGCTTTGACCACCTTACGTCAGCATTAAAGCTGGCACTGTCGCGACTCGGGCCAGATGTGGCCTTCGCGTGGCCCGGGACCAAAAACCGAGCAGCGCCCCCTCCTTGGTGGCATAGTGCACAGCAGTTTTGTCGCTCTTGTTCAAGAAGTCCACTTCGGCCTTCGCAGGTCAAGCCGAAACCGGATGGCACCGAAACCAAAACCAAAACCGGAAGTTGCCCGGTGTCACTGATGCATCCAGGTGCTGAAAGGCAGCAACGTGACCAGTTTTTTTTTGTTGACTACCTGGGACCTGGGCTTAAAATGGTCTTCCAGGAGCCCCGGTCAACTCTCCTTGGGTCCGAAAAGGAAAATCCAATCACCGCCTTCTTCTGGATGAGCAGCTCGCACGCCTTCGCCTGCCCCCTCTGAGCCGCGCAGATGAGGGCCGTGTTGCCGTGCTCGTCCTTGGAGTTCGGATCGGCCCCCTTCTTGAAAGCCGCCTCCATCTCTTTGATCACGCCCCGGCGGGATGCATCCACCTCACCGAAAATATGGACAACGGCTTTTCGGACAGAAGGGATCTAGAAAACGGTTTGGATGTGGTTTTTGTGGTTCCACCCCTGTAGAATTTTTAAAAGAGCACTAAAAGAGTACTAAAAAAGGACCAACAGGGGGAAGAACAGGTGAAATCCACAAAACGCGCATCCAAAACGGTTTCTAGAAGGGAACCACGCCAGCATGTTCCCCAAACACTCATAAGTTATAGGCTGAGTAGCCAACCAAATTGCGGCCAAGTGACCAGCTTTTTGTTGCAGCTGCTGGCCCCTCCACCCATCTCGACGGCCAAAGACTCCAAGGACTATGGCCGGAATGCTCCGCTTGAGCCGGCTGCATCCGGCATGCTGTGAGTCGCGCCGCAAGTGGCGAATAGAAGAGTGAGATGGTGTTCTGCCACAAGAAGCAACATGGAAGACAGAAGCTGGGGCAAATGTCTTTTCCCCTGTCCAATGCAGCCGGATACGGGGCCGCTGAGCGAGCCGGAGAGAAACAAAGAAAAACCAACCTGACAAGGCTGTCTGCGCAATTTCATTCCCTGGGAATTTGGGATGCGAGCCGTGTTCGCAAGAGTTGACCTCACCGGAACTGCTTGGATTTCTCTTATGTCTCCATGCCGTTGCGACTTTGGAACCTCACGGTGTATCAAGGCTAAGCTCCTCGTGCGGCTCATACCTGGCCTCATCTAGTCTCGCAATCAGACCAATCAACGATGATCAGAAGTAGGCAAGGGTGAACTATTTCTGACTTCCAAATACCGGCTACAGCTCTAGCATTCTGCCTTCTCTGACGCGACAGGCTGGTTGCACCGTTTTCCAAGCGTAACTCTCGTCTTTAGAGAGGGGTCGGATGGAGCGCAAAGTGACTTGAGTCAGGCCATCAAATCAAGCGGCCAGGAAGTGACAACAGCACGCTTCGCCAAGTGAAGAAAAAAGCCATGGGTCGCAACTCCCGAAATGAAGTCACCTCGCGAAAAGGCATCCATGGCAGGTCCCAGCATGATGCCAACTTTGATATGGTAAGTAGAACTGACTGGGTGTTCTGTGCCACGTTCATGAAAGCTTAAATGAAGGCTAGACCAAGGTGAAATCGGTCAAAGGGCTCGAGTTCTTGGGAGTGTGAACTATAAAGATCTATTGGCAATGGAATCTCCGACCTGCCATAAAAGCGCCTCGCAAACGTCTGCGCGCGCGAGACTCGAACATAAACCGATGCCCTGCAGAGTGTCAGGATTGTCGGGCACGTGAAATGTGAATTGTATCTAACTACCAAGCTTTGAGATGTTTAACTATAGGGCTTGTTCATGATATCCAAATCCAGAAAGCCCGAAATGGCTTCTTTGTTCCCAGAGGGCTTCCAGAGTCCCAACTTCCTGGCAATCTGCTATGGCCTTCCAGCACATCTGCGGTGGCTAGAAGATTCCGAAGGTGAAACAGCCGGAGGCTTTCGGAGGTCTGCGACTCCCACCAACTGGAACCTGGAACCTGACGTTCGGGAAATGGTCCCTTTACATACGGAAAGTGGTCCAACCCACCCCCAAATTTCCTATTGCGGTCACTGGAATCACTGGGCTAGTTCAAGCTTATCTGCATCGATTTGGGGAGTGTTTGATTCCACCTCCCCAACCGTCAGGTTCCCTGTTAATTGGTGGGAGGGGAAATTCCCTCAAGTCTCTTGCTCTATGAGGTCCTATGGAGACACCAGGACTGCTGAGGGCTGGACACCACGACTTTCGCCCAAGTCCGGTCTGCAGTTCGGCAAAGGGCTGGGAGGCTGCGGGCGTCTTGAATAACAGCTTAGGTCCTCCAGCAAAGAGGTTAGAATAAGGGTAACGTGTTTTCTGTAGTCTATTTTAGTAGGGAAACCCTCCCCCAGAAAAGGGGTAAAAGGGCCCTACTGGGGGACCTAGACGGAATCCTCATTCAGTTGACAGTCGGCATTGTCAGAGTGGCCTCTATTCGATAATCTTGCCATTTGACACTTACCCTTTGATGAGCAGAATGCCGATGCATGATCTGATCATCAAACAGTTATCATTTTCATGGCCGTCTCCATTTTTAGATCCTCGCCTTGGAAGGAAATCTGCCTGGAGACCGCGTCTCAGACTGACGTCGGTTTTGTTGTACGATCGCCATGAGTAAAAGTCCCACGGCGAAACAGGAACCTAATTGCACAGCCAACTTGTTGCTTCTCACCCTATCCCGCATGCTGACTCAGAGGACCTCTATGGGTTCAAAGCATAAGCACATAAATATGGCCATGAGTCAAAATCCCGTGCCAGCAGTGAACATCCCAATCCCCACTAAAATCGACTAAAATGGGTGGTGCACCTACCCCAAAAATGGTACCATTGGTTTTGACCCACAGCCATATCTATGGAACCCTTGCGTCTGGCAACATTCCAAAACTCCTTTCGGATCAGCATGAATACCCACCCTGCCGTATGCGAGCCACATGCAAACATGCGACTGTGTGCATCTGGCGTTTGAAGAAAGGACTCCGACCTTGTTGAAGCCTAGCATTGAGCCCAACTCAAGCCAGCGTTTCCCCAGGTGGCATTGTCGAGTTCGGCTCGCATTGAATTCACAAACTGGAATCTTGAATCCCCTCACTTCGAGCTCACATTGAATTGGTTTGTATATGCAACCCAATTGGGTTGGATTGGGTTCTTTTATATACAAACACCAACAATTCATGGGCGAACCCCCTCAATCTTTGCTTCCCGAAGAATCGGCGATCTCCGAGCTCCTTAAACGGAGGTGGCAATGCCTCGGAGCGGAACGCTTCACGGCTTCGGCACAGACAAATCCATGGATTGGACTCAGCTGGGGGGATGACTCATGTGGAGGTGGATCAACATTCCCTTCAAGGGTCCCATGGGTAACTTGTCCCAGCTCCCATGTAAGTGAATTGCCTTGGACTCATTGGGATCAACCATATCAAGCCTCTAACTTGTTCTGGCCAAGTTGAGGAGTCAGGAGGGTGCTGCCAGACTCGAAGTGAGCCCAAGGCTCCCTGAACATCAAGCAGGGCGGCAGATGAAACTCCTGAAGACAAGCATGGCGGCAGAGAGCCTCGAAGCTCAGTGTAGCTTGATGTCTACTGTTTCACGCCGGCTGAGATGAAGGTTCCCTAAAAGAAGCCTGTGGCCTTGTCAACGCTTAGAGACCGCGAGTTGGTCTGGGGGGCCACAACATTTGTTCTCGGACCATGTCCGTCGCTTTTCATAAACCACCATGAAAACAATGTGCCTAAACGACAAGGCGATGAAACTTGCCAGCTGGCTACGTTCCAGGTTTCAGCAATGCGGTGCAATCGGATAAAAAACAGCACATTCAGGAGGTGTGCTTAGCAAGCTTGGCTAGGCACGTTTCATATTTCCAACGCCACCCTCGCGTGGATTCCCCCTCACTGCTCGATTGCACGACACGAAGATCTGTGGGCGCCGCATGTTCTTATGGGTGGCTTGCGCTGACTGGGCATGAGAAGACTGCGGCAAAGCTCTGAAAACAACCAGCAGACTGAAACATCCAAACCTGGGCTAAGCCTGGCGCTAGCTCGTGAAATGGACTGCATGAGGTTGACCTGGCAGAATCTGTGCGGCACGCCGACTCGCGATCTTCATGCTGAATTGGAAGGTAAGGCTTTCTGATTGGCCTGCCAGAGGTGAGGCCTTAACCAAGCGCAGGAATCCCCTGGCTGCTGATTGAGGTACTGGCTCACGCCTTCAAGGCAGGGAGAAGTCTCTGATTTGGACGTGCTGAAATGCAGGTGTGGCCACACAAAAGGCTCTGCGCTAGATAAGGTTCAAGATCGCTGACAAATGACTTCTCATGGACATGCAATCAGGCACTTTCTCCAAAGGAAGGCTTCTCCTCCTGTACTGCAGCCAAAAGATCAGCTGGTTAATCAGAGGGGTTCAATGAAGGATTAAAGCGGAGGGGCTACCTATTCTTAGCATCCTTTGGGGATGCCTCTAGGAGTCCGCCTTCAGCGCAGACCAACTTCCGCTCCAACAGAATTGCTTTGCGTTTCGTACGGGAGCCCAAGTAATGCCAATTGGATCAGGAGGGGGCAACATCTTGCAGCGGAACAACCGCAGTGTTTTCTGAAGATAGTTCGTCATGTGCAAGACAAGATGCACATAGCTGCCATAGCTGCTAACGGCGAATAATTACTGCTTGAACGATCTTTCCCGGCCCATGTTTTAGGGAAAGGCCACGCAAACCATCTCCGTGATCCCCAAAAGAACGCAAACACTACAACGTGTGTGCTTTGTTACACAGGCAAAAATACCCCTCCCCCCCACCGATGGCAAACAATCAAACAAGAAGGCCCCTCCCCCCATGACTCTAAGGTCGTGTGGTGGAGTTGTTTTGGAGTGGCTGAAAGTTGCTTCAGGTATGTATGCTCGTACACATCTGTGTTTATACCCATGTGCAAATGTGTCTAGTATAAATAGAACATACTCATATGTAAGAATATATGTTACATGTATGCATGCATATATACAATACACACATTATATTATCACATTGGTTAATATGTGTGCAACCCGAAACAATTCCCACATCGCCTTTCGTAGGGCCGCGCTCCACCTGGGCGGAGTCTTGCCTACGAGCAGCCTCCAACTTCAAAAGCCCGACAGAAATCCAAGGCCAAGTTCCTGAGTTCTTTTTAATGGTGACCCCATAGTCAACCTCGGTTTAAACAAATACACCAGCATAGACCCCAAATAGCAGTGCTTGCACACCAGCACCTCCAAAAGCACCCCCGCGAAGAACGCCCCAAGCAAAACCCGGCCGTCAATCGAGCAAACATGCGCCCGCACGATCACCCTGAAGAGCACTCCCAAACAGAATCCCAAACCACCACCTAAGCTGCATGCCCCCTTGCACCCTACCGTCGAGATGCAAACATGCGCCTGCACCATCACCTGCATGCCCGATGCGCCCCACAAAGCACCTCAAACAGCTCCCCACAAACTGTGTCCCACAACACCATCAGCAGCACCCCAAACTGCACTCCCCCCTGCTTCCTACCGTCAAGATGCAAAAATGCGCGCACCAACACAGCACCTGCACAAGCAGCCCAAACTGCATGCCCCCTAGCACCCTACCGTCAATCTTGAAAAGATGCGCCCGCACTGCCATCAGCACCTCAAACAGCACCCCACTCAGCACCCCAATCAGCACCTACACCAGCACCCCAAACCGCACGCCCCCTAGCACCCGCCCAACAATCTCGCAAATCACTTTCCCCTCTTTATTAGAAGTTAGAACCCCTATAGCTTTTAGCTATCTGGGGAAAAAGCGGGGTGGGGGCCCCCGTTTTTAAAAGTGGTCTGATTCCTCACTAAACCCTGAAATATGGACACCCCCTATTAATAAACAGGGGTTAATTAATATGGGGTCAACATTAGGAGCTATCAACTACCTGTCGATCAGTCGGCAGAACTTCTGAATCACACGATGCCCATCCGACTTAAGGGCAACGCGCGACTCCTTGCTCAATTGCAACTTGAAAACCGTGACTGGCGTTGCCACCACAGCCAGAAGATAACATTGAAGTCACCAGCAAGGGTTGAGGGACAAGCCATGAGGAAGAAATTCGTCCAGAACAAGGCATGACCAGCCAGTGCAGCGCACAACTGTGACTCCCAAACAAGCACAAGGGAAGGATGAGTGTTCCGTCTCGAGCCCCTGTTTCTGCCCATGACTTGGCCAGATTTGGACCACCTACAAAAAGTTAACGTTTTGCTGGTCAAAAGGGAATCCAAAAGCAAGCGCACTAAAGCAAAAGGGTTGTCAAGCGCGCCCATCCGAACTCCTCGTAAGTCTGACCGGGCACCTGCTGCTTTTGGCGGTGGCGATGGAAGATGCCAGCGTCGCCTGCCAGCTGGCTCTTGACCGAGTCTTAGGCACAAGACGGCACTCGCAGCAACGCCATGTCTTCATTCATTTATGGCTACACGTAGACAAAACGTTGGGCAGGTCTACCCCAAAGGCGTTTCCAGCTGAATGAACCATCTGTTTCCATTTAAAACAGCCAGCATGGGTACCCTCCAAACAAGTACACGCTATATAACTCCGAACATGTGACTGGTGGATTCAGTGGAAACCAAGGTGCGCCGCTTTCATCCAAAGATAACTTAACAGCGGCGCTGAAATGCAGTTTCCAAGTAGATTGGCCAACAAAGGTTTAAACCCTTGGTTGAAGCACTAAAATTGGCTGTGGCTCACATAAATGTACCATGGCACCTTGGTAAAATGGAACGAACAACAAAAGCCTGCGGTTTGCCCTAGCTCTTTACTGTAATTTTTGAGCCACACCCGCTTCCCAACGAGTTTCATGTCTTCTCGACCCAAAGTCCCAGTCTTCAAATGGTGTGGGAACCCATCACTGCCCCTGTGACTGAGCCACATTTCCTGAGCCAGAACTTCAAGTTATGATTTGTCCTGTCCCACAGTTGGAAACATTGGATAGACAATTTCCACAATATCCACCAGTGGGGCCTTGTGGTATTCCCCAAACGCTTCTCTCGTCAAAGGAGCTTTTGAACTTCCGCCAGCTAAGAACTGTCCCAAAGATGGCAAAATTGGTTAGAACCAGTGGAGCCGTTTGGTCTTCTCCAAACGCCTTTTTCGTCAAAGCCAGGCACCCGCCCTTTGCTGCCCAGCGGCTCGCTCGAGGGTGTCCAGGTCAGGGCAGGTGGAGAACGACCGCTGCAGCTGCGGCACCTGGAGCCGCCGGGGTTGGTCGGATATTCTTTTTGGGGGGGGCCTTCCGCAAAGAGCTTGTTTCTTCTGTTTCTGTTTTTTCTTTTGTTCTTGTTTTCTGGTTTGGGGCCCTTCTTCCGGTCCTCTGGCCAGAGATTTGAACATCCAGAGTTGTGGAAGCTACATCTGAATTGAATTGGGATACATTGGATGCTACATTGGATGCTACATTGGATGCTACATTCCATACGCGCTCTACAGTGGATGCTACATTCCTGTGGGCCACAACTCATCATATTGGTTACAGCCAAGATTCTTGTGAGCACACACACGTATTTGGGGGAAGTGCGGCTTGCAGGCGAAAAGTGCCCTTTGTTGGGCGTTTGAAAGGGAAAGCAAAGGAAAACAACCCATTGGACCTTGTTGGCAATTCTAGCGCACCCCGCAAAGAAGCCATTATGTTGGCTAGGTCTTCACACCTCTCAGCAATTCTGTAGGATTGATTTTTGGGTCACGGAAGGTACTGTAAGTACTGGAGCAAGTTGGACTATGGCTGAGGCGTGACACGAGAGCTCTGTCTCACTGTGTGTATGTATATATGTATGTATGTATGTATGTATGTATGCATGTACGTACGTACGTACGTATGTTATGTTATGTTATGTCATGTCATGTCATGTCATGTCATGTCATGTCATGTCATGTCATGTCATGTCATGTCATGTCATGTCATGTCATGTCATGTCATGTCATGTATGTATGTATGCATGTATGCATGTATGCATGTGTGTATGTGTGTATGTGTGTATGTGTGTATGTGTGTATGTGTGTATGTGTGTATGTGTGTATGTGTGTATGTGTGTATCTAGGTATGTAGGTATGTAGGTATTTGGGTATGGGGTATGTAGGTATGTAGGTATGTTGGTATGTAGTGTGTGTGTGTGCAATGAAACAAGGAGCAGCATGCCCAACTGTCGCAAAATTCAAAGGCTAATCACTGGGTTACAACAACTAAGCTCCTAGCAGAGTTGCTTTTCACAATGGATTGATGTTTGGCAAAACAAACATAATCCAAGCAAGGCTCTACAACATGCATGTCCGAATGGACCCAAATCGCGGAGAAACTGCGCAGGCTCGGCCTCGCTGCGGCTGGCAAGTTCCAGTCCATCGGGAAACTCCTCATGGAGTGCCTGCCCAAGGACTAAGGGGCCGAGGCAAAGACTAACCCGGAACTGAACAGCGCTCCGCCAGGGACTACTTGAGGGGGGCCCAAATCTGACCCCTGAAATGTTGCAACTGTTCATCTCTTGGGCCTCCTCAATCATTTTTGGTGGGGAGGGCCACTGTATGAATCAGTCACCCACATCAGACACTCCCATCAACCTATCGACCCAACACGTCAACGCATCAACCATCCGTCAACCCATTGCCCCATCAGCCCATAGCGCATCCGTCCATCCGTCAATCTGTTTCGATCCAGTTCCGTCGTCCCAACGATGCCCGGACTTCACTCTAGGTCCCCCAGCTAGGTGCCCTTCCTCGCCCTTTTTGGGGCACGGTTCCCCTACTAAAATTGACTACAAAAAGAAAAGAGAGTTGGTACCAACTTATAACCTCTCAAACCTGGAGGTCCTTCAGTGCCAAGCGGATACTTCGCAGCTGATGGTTTGAAGCGTGCTGAACGTCGTTTCGTGCCCAGAACCCCAACGACTGGCCTTGGAGATCAAAGGAACGGGAAGCCCGAAGAGTTTACAGACTGCTTGTGTTGCTTCAGCATAGGGGAAAAAGTATCGGCCCTCTCCCGTCCTCTCAGTTCAGAATCGGTTTCCAGCATTGCTTTAGTTTGGTGTAGAACTGATTAGAAGTGTTAAACCTTTGTTAGTAATATTTATTGTTGCTGCAGTATCTTCGTTTGTCGGATCGGCACCTCGACTCCACTCCCCTTTCAACAAATGCTTTTGGCTCTTCAAGAAGACTTAGACAGTCATTGGCAACTTGTTTCTAGCTCAAGAAGCTGCTTGCGACAATTGAAGACAAATTGCTGTTGGCGATGGTGGTGGGGGAGGGGGGGGGCGCTGGGCGAAGGGCAGGGTTGGTGAAGAGTTATAGGGAAACTTGTTTCTCCATGTGACACGAAGACTCGCCAGAGTGTCCTTTTTAGGGGGGAGTGAGTACTCTATGGAAAATGTTTCTGTATTTGGTACCCTTTGACTAATGGCATACCAACATTATCAAGTTGATCTAAGAAGCACACTTATGTTTCCTACAGCCACTGTGGGTCACGTTTCTCAAGCGACTGGCATCTGTTCGAAGATCAGGCTTGACGGGCAGCCCCCAGGCTTGACCATGCCTGCACCTTCTCCAGGATGCCAGACCTGAGGCATTCCAGAGTCACAAGCAAAAACTGGTATTCAAATGCTCTACTCAAAACTCAGAAGGAATCAACATGGATACCTGCACGTGGGACGCTGGAAATTCGATTCCAAGGGGAGGGCCGGCTTCACAATCGCTTGCCCTTTTGCTGGAACACAAGCAACATGTTGCTCTTTTTGTATCACAGCGTCACTTTTGCCGTTGCAATAAAGCGCCCCGTGCAGACCTACTCGGAATTCGGAATGTCGCAGGCTAACTGGGAGCTGCGGCGAGCTAAGCGCTGCCACAGGGCCCACAAGGCCCACCTCTTGCGTTTGACACGACACAGCAACACATGTTTGACGTAGTTCTAACACATTCATGTCTCCTTTCAATGCATTCTGAAAACAAGCAAGGATCATCTTTGGATTCGAGTCTCCCCAACAAGCTTTATTTTCAGTGGGGAAACTATGTCCCCCACGTGCTCCAATGAATCGAAGGGCATTCGCGGCTCAAGGACCCTTTGTCGGACATCATTGACATGAAGCTCAATGCCCAATCACCATGTTTGAGGGTGATTATTCCCCACTAAAGTCCATTAACCGATTCGACTGTGAAGATCTCTGAAGTGGACACACAAGGTGTGTCTGGCGGAGTCCAGGCCAATCACACCTGTGACTGCAGACCAACAAATAGTCACGAATCAATACTGTCAACCGACTTGGGAAAAAGTGCCCTCATTGTGCTATGTCCCAGGCAACAACGGCTTCCTAGATTCCCTCTTTTTGGAGGAAACATGCCAGGCACATAGACACCCAACAGATCTTGCAATCCACACACATTCACACATCTTCGGCCTGAAGAACAAACACCTTTTGAACCAACCCGGGCGCCAAACATCGGTGGCAGAAAGGGCAGTGATGCTCAGGCCCGCGCTGCGGAGGATACCAGGCCTTGCGGGGCTCGTACAACTCAAGGCTCCAGGGATGGGCCAAAGCGTACAGTTTTGAGCGTCAAAAAGTGTTTTGCTTTCCATTTTGGCAGTGGTTTCATTGTTGTTCAACCCCTTCAAAGGCAACCACACCCAACTGGCTAGGAGGTTGATTGCACAAAAGCGACCGGTTGCTGCCACAATCTGGCAAGCCAACTCGGATTATATCAAACGCCCGCTGAATTGTCCCATCAGAATTGCTTGTCAAAGTCAAGCACGACTCGCCATCCTGAAGTGCAGCCCGTCGCCTGGAACATGTTCACTTGAGGATGTGCATTCCAATTTCGACAGCCACTTGAATCCAGGCGAGTGGTCCCTGAAGTTGCCAGGCAATCTGAGTGGTATCCATTCCGACCGGTGCTCATCTGAAGTAAGCCCGGATTGTTTGAGATCTTCATGACTTCTCAACATGTCATGCACACCTATCACCAACCATGCAATATTACGTTTTTACCTCCCACTCTATATAATAGTGTAGACATGTCTATACATATATATATATATATATATATATACGTTAATCTATACAAATATCGTATATATGGAATACATGAATACATGTTGAACATGCGAGATGTTCAATCTCTTCAGGCTCAGCTGAGAGGAGATGTATGACATTCCGAATGTCACGTACCCTCCCACCGACTAACATGGAACTGCGCATACCCCTGTAGAATGACTACGGTCCTCTTGGAAAGGAGCTTTGTGCACTTCCATGTTAGTTGGTGGGAGGGTACTTCAAACGAATCCCTCCGTTGTTCAGTGTTTCTGATGTTTGTTGTTAGTGTATTGCAGGCCCCCTTGGATGTTCAGCATACCAAAGTGAGTCGTGTCCAATAGTCATCACCCATGATGGTCTCCTTCTATGGCCTCATATCATACATACGTTAGCCGTAAAGCAACAGGCGACCCAAACGTGCCACTCTACCAAAGCCCACATCTCACCCACATGCCCCCGTGGCCCATGGCACGTGGGCCATGTCTTCCCGAAACCATGGGTCGATGTGCCCTCTGGATGCCATCAGTGCATGGGAACGAGGGAAACTGTGTAATCCACCGCAAGTTCCCAGAGTTTTGGATTTGGACGTGGGTCCCCGCGGTGTAGGGTTTAGGGTCTTGGGCGTGTTTTTTTTGCTTTTCTTTTTCAGAGTGTTTTAAAGGAAAACCACAGGAACACCACCTTTGCGGTCCATTTTGACACGTCTCCATCTCACGTATCCATGTCGCATCGCGAAGCTCCGGGTTCCCACGGCTCCTGCCTCAAGCGCTGCTTTGCAAAAGGGGCTCCTGGGCGAGTTCGTGGCGGTTCCACGGGAAATTCCGAAGGCCAAGGATTTGCTTTTTGGCTCCCGCTACAACCCAAAGAAGGGTACCAATTCTGGCCCACCCTTCATGCAGAAGTTTCTTAAGATGGATGGCGTCGCATGGATCTTTACCTTTTCAACCGTGGGATTGTCCCAAATTCCGAGTCCCAAATTCCGAGACCCAGATCGATATGGCGACGCGTTCTGTGCTGCAAGTTCTGTACCTGAAACAAGCTTCCATTTGCTTTTTCGCACCCTGGAAAAAATGAGGACATACTTCCAGTAGGGATAGACTCCCTGCAACCTTTAAACCAATATATTCTTAAGCAACTGGCATTAACTCCCTTCCTGGGTACATTGGCCAAACAAGTCTGAACTTTTTATTTACCACTAAAGTAAAGTCCATGAAGTCAGGGGACTCTGATCAGTCTGGGGAGCTGACTCCATCTGCGCCTGCAGCACGTCGAACCACCCAGGGTCCCGCACACACCTGGACGTCCAGAGAAAAGCAAAGCTGGATATTTACCTACATGATACATGATGTCTGTTTTTTGTTAAAGTATGTCTTATCATGATTATTTATTTGCATATATTATATATATATATACTATCTTCATTATCTATATATATATAAACCCTCAGGTCTTACCTTAGATTATATACTTATGCCAGTCTATCAGTAAGGGTCGATCCGTCTTGATCCTATAGGATAGGGCCTGGGATCCATAGATTTCAACGCCAGATTCCCGAGAACCTGTGATGAATCGATTTATATCCAAAACTGCTCTCATTTGCGCTGTAAAATCGGTTGCTTGGATCTACTGTCTACATTGAAGATGTAAAGACTAGTCTGGAGTCTTTAATCTGTAGTCTTGAGCACGAAATCCATTTGAAGCTAATTGAAACACGTTTGAACTGAGTAGTTGCAGCGAAATATGGCTAACTCAAATCCAGGAAACGGGACTGCAGCGGGAGATCTGAGCGTGGAACAGCGTCCTAGTACAACTCTGCTGTGACATGTTTGATATGCTTGTCTGAAACACATTCAAACAGCGTTCTCTACGTATCCCCCTTAAACAACACCCCACCGAAAGAAAAGCTCTCGTCAACTTGTGCCCAAGATTCTCAAAGCCTCACAAAGGGAAACATAGGGTCAAAACGAGAGAAGGGAGAGAGCAACAAAGGAGAATAACCATTCGACCTTCTTCAAACACGTTCAGGAGCTCAAAAGGGCGTTGGAGTTTGCGGTCGAGCAGTTGAAACGAAAGTGGCAACCGGAAAGCCGAGAACAAAAGCAAGAAGGTTGCACCAAGGGATTGACACGATGTGTGGGAGGGCTCCGAGTCATAGACTCTTCACCTGAGCAAGTCCAACATGCAGTCAATGGGCAAATGGCAGGCTCGAGCAAGTAAAACGGTTCCCACCAACAAAGCCGCTGCATCACCAAGCATCCTCGATGCAGCAAGTTCCCCAAAAAGATTCATCAAGGCATAGGCTGAAATAAAAAACATCCCCTCAATCTGGTGAATGTGTAACCATGTGGCCAATATAGATGTATGTATGTATGTATGTATGTATGTACGTATGAATGATTGAATGAATCAATGAAATGAATGAATGAATGAATGAATGAATGAATGAATGAATGAATGAATGAATGAATGAATGAATGAATGAATGAATGAATGAATGAATGAATGAATGAATGAATGAATGAATGAATGAGAATGAATGCATGCATGCATGCATAAATGAATGAATGAATGAATGAATGAATGAATGACTGAATGAATGAATGAATGAATGAATAAATGAATGAATGAAATGAATGAATGAATGAATGAATTAATGAATGAATGAATGAATGAATGAATGACTGAATGAATGAATGAATGAATGAATGAATGAATGAATGAATGTATGTGTGTACGTATGAATGATTGATTGATTGATTGATTGATTGATTGATTGATTGATTGATTGATTGATTGATTGATTGATTGAATGATTGAATGATTGAATGATTGAATGATTGAATGATTGAATGATTGAATGAATGATTGATTGAATGAATGAATGAATGAATGAATGAATGAATGAATGAATGAATGAATGAATGAATGAATGAATGAATGTATGTGTGTACGTATGAATGATTGATTGATTGATTGATTGATTGATTGATTGATTGATTGATTGATTGATTGATTGATTGATTGATTGATTGATTGATTGAATTGAATGATTGAATGATTGAATGATTGAATGATTGAATGATTGATGATTGAATGAATGAATGAATGAATGAATGAATGAATGAATGAATGAATGAATGAATGAATGAATGAATGAATGAATGAATGAATGAATGAATGAATGAATGAATGAATGAATGAATGGAAATGAATGAATGAACGAACTACATATATATATATATACGCTATGTATACACATATTGTTGCAACCCTAGAGAGCAAGGTCAATCCCCCCTTGTGATATCAACCTTCGTCGTTTGACCGCTTGAGGCGTCCGCCAAATGGGGTTCAGCGGCATGGCATAGCCCTCCTCCACCTGGGCATCGTTTCGACCGCCGAAGAGAAGCCTCAAAGCTTCGAAGAGCTGAAGGAGAAGGTATTCTCCGTAGATCATAGATCATGGTTGGGTAAAGCTGCCAGAAAACTGGGTTGGGGAAATAGTTGGGGAAACACATATGCTGGATCATGGTTTGGTTGGGTAAAAAACGGCTCGAAAAATGGGTTGGGAAAAGAGCTGGGGAAAAGGATCGAATCATTCCAGGGGTTCTTAGGTGGTGCAGGATTTCGTCCATCCACAGTAGGTGTCCTGTTGGGAAAACAGATGAGACGGCGGTAGACCAGGTCACGCTTTTCGACCAAAACAACCAAAAAGGACAGGCCGAGGCTGAATTCGCCTGTAGCAAACAACGGCTACAGGCCCAAATCAGTGTGCCTGCTTGAGAAGAGGGGCAGGTCTTAAAAAATAGAGGGCATGAGCACAAGAGTACCCTCCCCCAGGCGATTCCATGGAAGCTCCCAGGACCTTTTTTGGAAGACTTGGTGCCTTCTGGAAGCTTCCGGCTGTTGGTCTGAGGGAGTGCATCCACCTTCCCCGCTTCGGGCCACCCCGCTCGCTCGACGAGGAAGTCCCTAAGCTCGTCCTCATTGACTCACTCAGTTGGGTGGAAAAGCCTCCCCGTGGTGTCTTAAAATAGGGTGCAGCCCCCCAAATCCGCCGCTTCCTCTTGAGTAGCATTGACGTAGCAAACCCTTCCGCAAAACCTTCCGCGAAGCTTCCGCGCTGTGAAGGGTACCTTCCGCGAGCATGTTTCTACATAGTTTGTACAAGTGCTTCCGCGGACCTTGCGCAGCACAAGCTGCTTCTGGAAACTGAGGAAGGTAGCTTCCGCGAGGGAATTCGTGCGTGCGGGTTGCTAGTAAACATGCTTGGCAAAAACCACCCAACCGAAATCAAACTACTATGTGCAGATCAAAAGGGACCCTTCCGCGAGCTTCTGCGATCAAACACCTTCCACAAACCTTCCGCGAACCTGCCGCGACTGCAGCGCGGCGCCAATTTTGTTGTTGGTATGTCAACATCTACAAATGTTTGCTTGAGCGGAACAACAACCCGCCACTTCTCTTGGTTTTCCCTTCAAAACAACCCCAATCTAGGTACCTTCAAAAAGGACGCACCCGTGTGAGTTTGATCATCTAGTTTCACCCTGGTGTACGCCTTCCAAACCTAAAACCCGACTGGAGGTCCGGTCCGAAGATCGTTAGATCCTCTGCTGCGTTCCCTCCTCATGGGACCGTGGCTTGCTCACCTTTACTTTGACCAACGGTGGTGGCCATGTGGACGACTGAGGCAATCAGTCCATGGAAGTGCACAGATTCCCTTTGCAACAAACACATGCAGTCTTCCAAAAGGTGTCTGTGAACTGGTGGCATTCACACAAAAGGAGTGAGATTCTTCCAAAAAGCGCTTGGAGCATTCACACAACGGAGGGTAGTCTTTCAATAGCCAAATCTGTGCACCTCGAGTGAGGGACTTCTGCGAGGCTGCCATTGCAGCCCTGTCAGCTTCTGGATCGCACCCTAGAGTAATTAAGGTTGGTGGCCCTCTGATGTGCGTCAAAGGGCCAAGCATCTGACATATACCCAGGCTACACACGTGAGCCACCCCCTGGCCCCAGAAGGTTGACAGCAGGTTTCTTCTCATGGTGATATACGAAACCATGTAATATGTGAGCTGAGTAGGCTGCCAAATCTCGAGAAAACATAAGTTCTGTTGGAATGGCCTTGTATCAATCAAAGCAAGCACATCGAGCACTATCGCCAAACTGGGGCTGATCTTGAAAAGGTCTAGCAACAAAGACACAAATCTGAAAGGAGGCATGCAGCAAAGTTGTTCCAGCAAGTTGCCATGACAGCGGAGCCAAGTTTTGATAGCCGCCCTAATCGAATGCTAACTTTAGGGTTGAAGGGGGTTGGCAATCAAGACTGAGCCAGCGGGAGACTTGTGGGAACCAACCAAACTCTAACTGCACAATTCCGGTGCTGCCCTCAAAAGACACAAAAACAGTGTCACAAATACGCACACACACACACACGCACACATGCACACAAGTCCACCCACCTCGTCCATGTACATCCAGGGCCTTGGAACGCCCAAGGCGCGTAGCGGCCAGCTCCAGGTCGGCATGTGAATACAGGAAGTGACCCGCAGGTTTCTGCGATTTGCCACTTCTGAAAGATTGAACAAGCCCATTTTGGCGTAGCAAGAAGCAAGGAAGGAAGGAAGCAAGCAAGCAAGTGAGCAAGCAAGCAAGTGAGCAAGCAAGCAATCAAGCAATCAAGAAGGAAGAAGGAATAAAGCAAAAAAATAAGAACGAATCAAAGGAAGAAAGGAAGAAAGGAAGCAAGAACGAGAGAAGGAAACAAGTAAGGAAAAACCACACACACACAACAAGTACAAATTGAAACCAACAAACAAACAAAAAACGTGCAGACAAACAACAAAACCACAAGCAGGCAAACCAAAAAACAACTCACAGCAACAAACAACGAACAACCAACAACACCCAGCAAAAGCAAGTAAGAAACAACCAACAAACAAGCAGCAAATCATTGACAACGTCAACATCAAGTCGTCGTCACAATCATCATCATCACCGTCATCATCATCATCATCATCATCATCATCATCATCATCATCATCGCCCCCGTCGTCGGCGACAACGACGACGACGGCAAAAGCAGCGACGGCGACAGCGACAACGACGACGACGACCACAGCAACAGCAACAGCAACAGCAAACAGCAACAGCAACAGCAACAGCAACAGCAACAGCAACAGCAACAGCAGCAGCAGCAACAGCAACAGCAACAGCAACAGCAACAGCAACAGCAACAGCAACAGCAACAGCAACAGCAGAACAACAACAACAACAACAACAACAACAACAACAACAACAACAACAACAACAACAACAACAACAACAACAACCACAACCACAACCACAACCACAACAAGAACAAGAACAAGAACAAGAACAAGAACAAGAACAAGAACAAGAACAACAACAACAACAACAACAACAACAACAACAACAACAACAACAACAACAACAACAACAACAACAACAACAACACAGCAACAAGCAACAAGCAACAAGCAACAAGCAACAAGCAACAAGCAACAAGCAACAAACAAGCAACAAACAAGCAACAAGCAACAAGCAACAAGCAACAAGCAACAAGCAACAAGCAACAAGCAACAAGCAACAAGCAACAAGCAACAAGCAACAAGCAACAAGCAACAAGCAACAAGCAACAAGCAACAAGCAACAAGCAACAAGCAACAATCAACAAGCAACAAACAACAAACAACAAACAACAAACAACAAACAACAAACAACAAACAACAAACAACAAACAACAAACAACAAACAACAAACAACAAACAGCAAACAGCAAACAGCAAACAGCAAACAGCAAACAGCAAACAGCAAACAGCAAACAGCAAACAGCAAACAACAAACACCAAACACCAAACACCAAACACCAAACACAACACCAAAAACCAAACACCAAACACCAAACACCAAACACCAAACACCAAACACCAAACACCAAACACCAAACACAACGACGACGACGACGACGACGACGACGACGACAACAACAACAACAACACCACCACCACCAACAACAACAACAACAACAACAACAACAACCGCCCAATGACTCTGCATCCAGGAAGGAAGACTACAACACTGCCGGGGTTACAGGAACACTACAAGGCTGCTGCCTGACTGGGCGACGGCGCTCCCGCGAAGCGTTGAGCGGGAGACCCCGCGCAGCGTTTCCTTTTGGCGTCCTCTGCTGTAGCTCGCCGCTATCTCCTCCACAGCGGAGACATTGCCAGCCCCCGCAGTCCAAAGTAGCACCTGCCGCGAAATCCCGCGAGCTCAGACTTTGCGCGGACCCTGCCGCGAGAGCATTTTAGCGAACTGTTGCTCGGGGTGCCCTCAGTGGATCGTTGAGAGCCTCCTCGCGGTCTAAAGTAATGCGCCTGCCACCAAATCTAGCTTCCGCGAGCTCAGAGCACGGACCCTGCCACGAAAGCATTCGCCGCAGAACGCTTCGGCGCCTGCCGCGCAATCAAACTTCAGAAGCTTGAGACGAAAACAACGCGGCGACCCCAGCCGCCAGTGAGGGATTGAGTGTGCTGAATGAACTGAGTACCAGGCGCTCTCATGCGCTCAGCGCCAAAGCGCTGCGCCTGCCACGATTTCGCACGCCCCCCGCCGCGCGCGCGACAACATCCTGTCCCTCTAGACAGCTGCCGAATGCGACCCCTGCCACACAAACACACACCCAGATGCACAGAATGCTGCGCCTGCCACGACTTCGGCAACGGCATCGCCAAAGTGCTGCGCCTGCCACGATTTCGCAACGGCATCGCCAAAGTGCTGCGCCTGCCACGATTTCGCACGCCCCCCGCCGCGCGCGCGACAACATCCTGTCCCTCTAGACAGCTGCCGAATGCGACCCCTGCCACACAAACACACACCCAGATGCACAGAATGCTGCGCCTGCCACGACTTCGGCAACGGCATCGCCAAAGTGCTGCGCCTGCCACGATTTCGCAACGGCATCGCCAAAGTGCTGCGCCTGCCGCACGCCCCCCGCCGCGCGCGCGACAACATCCTGTCCCTCTAGACAGCTGCCGAATGCGACCCCTGCCACACAAACACACACCCAGATGCACAGAATGCTGCGCCTGCCACGACTTCGGCAACGGCGCTTCCTATTTGCACTCTCTTGAGCTGCGTGATTCGCTGCGCCCTGTACTTGGGTCTTTGTCACTACACGCTGGTCTCGAAGGAGCAACACCTCTTAGGCTGATCACTCTGCCCAGGCGAACCAAGCAGGGCAGCAGACGATGGCACCCTGCAAGAAGCTTATCGTGTAAGTTAACACTGCGCTGATTTGGTGGGCCAGCGTGTGTTTTTCCCCACATCTTGATGTGGGGTTCTTACTTTTTCCGCTCGTCGTCCGCGCGCCGCGTCTCCTCCTCCTTCTCCCGCTCGTCTCCGTCTCACTCACTCACTCACTCACTCACTCACTCACTCACTCACTCACTCTCACTCACTTACACTCACTCAACTCACACTCACTCACTCACACTCGCTCACACTCACTCACTCACACTCAGTCACTCACACTCACTCACACTCACTCACTCACACTCAGTCACTCACACTCACTCACACTCACTCACTCACACTCACTCACACTCACTCACTCACTCACTCACGCTCACTCACACTCACTCACTCACACTCACTCTCATTCACTCACTCTCATTCACTCACTCACTCACTCACTCACTCGCTCACTCACTCACTCCACACTCGCTGACTCACGGCAGTGTCTGGAGGGACAGGATGTTGTTCGCAGCGCGCGGCGGGGGGCGTGCGAAAAATCGTGCAGGCCGCAGCACTTTGGCGATTTTTTTTTTGGGGCCGTTGCGAAAATCGTGGCAGGCGCATGCACTTTGGGTGCGTCGTGTTTTGGCCGAAAGAAGTCGTGGCAGGCGCAGCATTTCTGTGCATCTGGGTGTGTGTTTGTGTGGCAGGGGTCGCATTTCGGCAGCTGTTCTAGAGGGACAGGATGTTGTCGCGGCGCGCGGCTCGGCGGGGCGTGCGAATCGTGGCAGGCGCAGCACTTTGGCGCGATGCCGTTGCGGAAATCGTGGCAGGGCGCAGCACTTTGGCGATGCCGTTGCCGAAGTCGTGGCAGGCGCAGATTCTGTGCATCTGGGTGTGTGTTTGTGTGGCAGGGGTCGCATATTTCGGCTGCTGCCGAAGTCGTGGCAGGCGCAGCATTCTGTGCATCTGGGTGTGTGTTTGTGTGGCAGGGGTCGCATTCGGCAGCTGTCTAGAGGGACAGGATGTTGTCGCGCGCGCGGCGGGGGGCGTGCGAAATCGTGGCAGGCGCAGCACTTTGGCGATGCCGTTGCGAAATCGTGGCAGGCGCAGCACTTTGGCGATGCCGTTGCCGAAGTCGTGGCAGGCGCAGCATTCTGTGCATCTGGGTGTGTGTTTGTGTGGCAGGGGTCGCATTCGGCAGCTGTCTAGAGGGACAGGATGTTGTCGCGCGCGCGGCGGGGGGCGTGCGAAATCGTGGCAGGCGCAGCACTTTGGCGATGCCGTTGCGAAATCGTGGCAGGCGCAGCACTTTGGCGATGCCGTTGCCGAAGTCGTGGCAGGCGCAGCATTCTGTGCATCTGGGTGTGTGTTTGTGTGGCAGGGGTCGCATTCGGCAGCTGTCTAGAGGGACAGGATGTTGTCGCGCGCGCGGCGGGGGGCGTGCGAAATCGTGGCAGGCGCAGCACTTTGGCGATGCCGTTGCGAAATCGTGGCAGGCGCAGCACTTTGGCGATGCCGTTGCCGAAGTCGTGGCAGGCGCAGCATTCTGTGCATCTGGGTGTGTGTTTGTGTGGCAGGGGTCGCATTCGGCAGCTGTCTAGAGGGACAGGATGTTGTCGCGCGCGCGGCGGGGGGCGTGCGAAATCGTGGCAGGCGCAGCACTTTGGCGATGCCGTTGCGAAATCGTGGCAGGCGCAGCACTTTGGCGATGCCGTTGCCGAAGTCGTGGCAGGCGCAGCATTCTGTGCATCTGGGTGCTGTGCTCTGTGGTGCTCTGTAATCGCATCCATACAAGGGGCGCACGGTACATGTGTGTGGACATTTGGGAAAAACATAGCATGTGGGGTTATCCGGTCCTTTAATTTAAATAAGCCCCCGCCCCTTCAATGCATGTCTGTGACTTTTTGTGCTCTCGAAAAAAAACGCAACTTGGTCGCGGCTTTTGCAGCATGACAGCCTGCGCAATTCCACGATCTGCTGGGGCACTTTTGTGTACACTGCACGGAAACGCCACGTGTAAGAGAAAGGGTTTCCCTTGGCGGGGTTTCTCTTGGCGGGCCCCTGTTTCGTTTGACTGATCTGCTGTTGCTTTGTCGGCTTCCGATGCATGTTATGCGCGTTCTCGTGTCGCGAGCTCTCCGCGGCATGCACACGATGGTGCTGGGTGCTCTGTAATCGCATCCATACAAGGGGCGCACGGTACATGTGTGTGGACATTTGGGAAAAACATAGCATGTGGGGTTATCCGGTCCTTTAATTTAAATAAGCCCCCGCCCCTTCAATGCATGTCTGTGACTTTTTGTGCTCTCGAAAAAAAACGCAACTTGGTCGCGGCTTTTGCAGCATGACAGCCTGCGCAATTCCACGATCTGCTGGGGCACTTTTGTGTACACTGCACGGAAACGCCACGTGTAAGAGAAAGGGTTTCCCTTGGCGGGGTTTCTCTTGGCGGGCCCCTGTTTCGTTTGACTGATCTGCTGTTGCTTTGTCGGCTTCCGATGCATGTTATGCGCGTTCTCGTGTCGCGAGCTCAGAGGTCCGGGCGGCTGATGAGTGTTCACAAAAAGAAGAAGAAGGGAAACCCCTTCCCTCGGACCTCAGCACCCCTGGGATCTTTGCTTCAACATGCCCGAGGCCACAAAGTATAGCGGGCAAAGCTTTCAACGGGGCAAGTGGAAACAAACACAACTCGCCAATGCGGCCAGGCGTCCGGGGTTGAACCTCTGCAAGGCCTTCCAGCACGCCAGCGCACGCGCAAGCTGAAGAAACTAAAATCAAACACTGTGACTGGGAAGGGAGGCAAGCTGGCCTCGCGTCTTCCAGCTTGCGCAACATGTGTTGGGCAGGCTCAACGGCACAGCCGGGGTTGTGCGACATGTCAAAACCTCAAAGAGCCTGATGGAAAAATAAGCTTCCCAAATTGTCGCTCTCCCGACAACCGCAAGTCGATGCTTTTACCACCCCTTCTAGCCAAGACAAACCAAGGTTCTGCTGGAGAATCTAGGAGTGCCACCCGCGCGGAATCTGAAGTGAAACCAACGGTGGGCGATGTCGCGAAGCCGTGCTTCATCACGGCACCGCGGACTGCCGCGTCTCCGTTTCGCGCGCCAGGCCGCGGTGACTGGCGGCAGGCCAGCGAGATGGTTTCTGGTCAGGCGCGCGCCCCTCTCTTACCTGCAAAGTTCCGCATTGACTGTGGCCAGCCGTCAACGCAAGCCCATG